TGAATATTTATTATAAATAAATATTAACTAAATAAAGGTAAAGTCTATTATTTAAAGTTATAAATAGTGATACATTAAAAATAGAAGCAGATAAAGAATTGCCTATAAAAAGTAGAAAACAGAAATGGTATAGTAGACACTTTGCTCTTTGTTATAAGCTCTTTAGTTTTTTCCATTGATTTCATAATACTGATTTTTTAATAAAATAATGCATTAAGAACCATCCCTGAGCCTCATCCTATTCCTGAACTTCAATCTGTCTTTAGTTTCATCCCAAATCTCATACCTGACTAACCTGTGACTTACATCATCTTGCTCAATTACTGAGCTTGGAAGGAGCAGGAAGCTGATGTATCAAATGGCCCATCAGATTGACCCAATGAAAATATCACAAGTAACCATTCATTTTAACCTTCGGGTATCAAGTTTTTTCTTCTGCAAAATTAGGACATGTTGTGAGTAATCTAAAGTATCTTCCAGTTTTGTCATTTCTTAAAAATGTATGTTTGTATACTTATCTATGTGGTTTTTTTTGTCAGCACTGAAATGGTGAATATGAAGCTAAATATCCACAAGGTGGCACTCTAAGTCCAATTCTATAGAGATTTGGCTTTTTAATTCCCTAGTTTTGCTGGCAAAAATTACAAAACATAAAGAACTAATGGAAATATTTTGAGAAAAGTTTGGAGGACAAGTATCACCCAGAGACCAGGCTTTACTCTCCCCAGTCTTCAAGCAGTTACTATATTTCTCCAACAGCATGTGAATTGCATGGCCACAAGTCATAGCAGCCTGAGTGTCAACGTATTTTCAAAACAACAATCAGAAAGCCATATTTCTCTGGTTTGGATCTCCACTACCAATGTGGGAAGTTCAGTCAGTTGCCCACTACTCTACCCCACCAGCTATTTCTGAGATCCCTGGAGCATGTGTCAACCAAATCTCTTAGCATGTTTATTTCTGTACCTGTAGGCTACCATGGGAATGCTAAGGCCAGAGTCTTTTAATTCATGATTTATTCATTCATGAAACAAATAACTATTGAGTACTTACTATCTGCCTGACTCCATACCAGACACTGAAAATACAGAGGACAATGCTACATACACAGAAATATTTCTATGCCCAGATTGTCTCTGGAAATAATCATAGCAAACTCTTAACAGCAAACTCTCATAGCAAATTGAGTGGGCCATAATGGCATTGGGTGGAAATGAGATTTACCTTGCACTATGTTCAGTTTTATACTCTTTAATGTTTATCTTATGCATGGATAAGCATGCACATGATAAATATGTATATCCAGTTTAAACTAGTCAGTGAGGATGAACATTTTCTGAATTAGCTCAAAGGATTTTATGTCTTCTAACAGAAATTCCTGTCTTCCAAGTGTTCATGCAGTGCTCATTTATTACAGCAGGTGGCAGTACCGTACATGACTTGATTTTGGAGGCTCTGGAAAAATGTGGAAGGATGGTAGTTAAACACATTCTAAGGCTCTGTGCCTTGGGACTTCTGGTCATAAACATAATAGTTTGTTCATGCTTGACACAGATGCAAGTGTAGTACTTGTTTCTTAGAATCTTAAACTGAAAAGGACCTTGCTTTATTCTCAAAGATGATAAGGGAATTAGCATATTGTGTAGCAGATGCTGTGTAGCAAAGTCAGGCAGAACCCAGACCACCTGAATGTTTTGTCATAAGAAGATGGTATGACTGATGAAGACAATCAGTTTATCAATCTTGCTTTTAAATTTGAGGGTTCATCTGTCTGATGTTTAAAATGTAGGCTTGGACCACATTGGTGCTTTCAAACTGACATAAATATGATCATTGCCTAGGGCCCTTTTTAAAAAATACAGATTCTAAAGTCTCTCCCTTTATGATTCTTATTTGTAAAATCTGGAGTGGAGCTCAAATTTTGTATTTTCAACAAGAGATCCTCAATGGTTCTTATTATCTGGAATATGTCAGGTGACTTTTTAAAAAATCCTCCAAATCCTTAAATTCTATAATTTTCTTCTTCTGCAATTGTTCTCATTAAACATTGTCCTTCCTCTACTTCAGGGACTTGCATCAGAATCACATGTTCATGTTATTTCTCATCTCTAACTAAATATCACTTGCTGATGAATACCATCTGTTTGTCAATACTATTGCTAAGCAGGGGTTTCCCATTTGCCCTTTCATATCCACTCTCCTCTGTTATCTACCTGATCTCTGCTGTTGGAGCTAAACTTGACTGACCACTTCAATGGGCTTCTTTGCCTTCCTGACTTTCAATTGGGTTTATCCAATGGGAGGATTCAAGAGGAGAGGAGAGAATGGGAGAACAACATCATTAGGGGTATTTTTATCCTGACCTCTACTCCTCCCTAATTACCCATGGGATCACTATAACTTAGCTGTGTCTCTCTATTGAAAGCTATAGCCATCTTAGGGGGTCTTCTTATAGTAAAAGTAGACCTTTGGGGGTCTCTTCGGGTTGAGGTTTGGTAATATTGTTACTAAAGTGTCTTTCAGATACTTCTTAACCTTTCCCAAGCCTTTGTAAATAGTCCCTTTGTTTTTTTGTTAAAACTTCCTCAATAACTTTAAGTATGCATCTCTGCTGCCAGGACTTGGTCACAGACAATGATTTACCTTTATCTTTTTCATATGTGCTATTTACAGAATAAAGGTTTTCTTGTTCTTTATTGGAAATAAGATCATCAGGCTGGCATGGTTCAGTGGTTGAGCATCTACCCATGAACCAAAAGGTGATGGTTTGATTCTAGATCAGGGAGCTCTATCCCCAGTAGGGCGCATGCAGGAGGCAGCCGATCAATAATTCTCTCTCATCATTGGTGTTTCTATCTCTCTTTCTCTGCCCTCCTCTCTCTGAAATCCTATCTACTAAAAGAGTAATATGCAAATTAACCATCATTCCAACACACAAGATGTCCTCCCCAATGTGGTCAAAGATAGCTGCCCCCATGTGGACATCTTGTGTCACAAGATGGTCAGTAGGGGAGGGTAGTTGGAGGGGGGGGCAGGACTGCAGGGGAAGGCAGTTGGGGGCAATTGGGCTGGCAAGGGAGCAGTTAGGCATCAATCAGGCTGGCAGTGGAGTAGTTAGAGGGTGATCAGGCTGGCAGGCAAGAGTGGTTAGGGGCAATCAGGCAGGCAGGCAGACAGGCGAGTGGTTGGGAGCCAACAATCCTGGATTGTGAGAGGGATGTCTGAGTCGGACATCCTTTGAGAGGCCCCACATTGGAGAGAGTACAGGCTGAGCTGAAGGACACACATCCCCTGAGCATGAATTTCATGCACTGGGTCTCTAGTAAATAGATAAAAACGAGAAATGATAGAATTTAGGAGGAGAAATAAAATAATTCTAGAATTAAAATGAGCTTTAACATATATATTTGAACTTACCACTAAATGCTAGAATCCAATATGAAATAGATCTGCTTCTTCCCATTCATTATAAATTTTCAAATATTTACTGGGAATTATCATTTTCTCCTCTATGTAAAATATTATTAGTTCCTTCAATAGTTTTTCATGTAATAGTTGTTCAGACTCTGAGGACCTCAGTCACAGAATGTATTGCTGCCATGAACCTTAGGTTATCAAATTCAGGCAAATTGGAAGATCCAAAAGGTGGAATCTTTGTCCAAAATTACAGAGAAATTTACTGGGAGAGCCACGATTAGAGCTCAACTCTCTTTCCTCTGTCTCATCCTATTTCTCTTTTCAGTTAATTTACCCAATTCTTTTACCAGATTGCAAAACCGAAATGAAGAAATTAATACAAGCATCCAAGTCTGATGGAGGTGGCATTTAAATTGCACAATTGCCTTGGAAGTATTGGGGAAAGACAGCTATGAGCACATTATATTTGACACAACTTCAAGGGTGAAGCAAACTGTCATTTTATTTTGAGAGCTCAACTACCTAGCCTTTGCATCTTAGTCTAAACTTTAAAGACTGTAAATATGGACAAAAAGGGGCCTAACTTTTGGAAGGCTTACATGGCAGCCTTGCAAACCACAAAAGATGGTCTGAAATGAAAACAATTTTAATTAAAAAGCAGTCTATGGTGGGTTGTCATGTCCTAGGCCAGTATCTTCTCTGACAAAGATCAACTTTGATTTAACTGAGTCTATTGTCTTTTTGCATCTACGGCAACATACCTTTGGAATGTCAGGGTAGCTTGTAACTTCCCTTTTTCCGATCCCTCAGGACATCACCAATGGTCAGGACACCAGGGCAGAGACCACAATTTCCTCATTGTTATTGTTGTGTTAATTGTTGGCTTGTCAACTATCCTGTACCCATTTATGTAAAAGAAGCATGTTTACTTTTTACCCAATCCTAGAGGTTTCCCTGCTTTGCTTTCTCCTACTTCCCTAATCTATCACCAATGGATTTCATTTAACCCACTTACATCTCCTCCTTTGATGGTAATTTATAAAATTAGGTGAAAAACTGCCATTATCTGGAGCAGTGTTTCCCAAACTTCTCTCATGATGAGAATCACCTGGTGGAGTTGTTAAAATACAGATTCCTGAATCCTAATTAAGAAATGCTAAACTAGAATTTTTGGGAACATATAGGTAAAATTATATACTTAACTAGTGCTCTATCTTAGAGAACTAGTTAAGTATACAATTAGTGCTCTGTCTTAGAGCACTAGTTAAGGATACAATTTTACTTAACTAGTAAATAGTTAATAGTTAGTCCTGACTTTAAATCTCCAATCTTCCACCAACTTAGTGCTGTATAATATAAAACTGCAGAGGACTTTAGGGACAGCCTAGTTCAAAGACAGTTAGACCCAGAAAGTATGTGCTTTACAAACTCACAAAGAAGAATCAGAATTTGACTCTTAATCCTATTGTCTTTTTCATGCACTGTGGTTATTTCCTATATGACTGTGTCTTCTGGGTTTAATTTTCTTTAGGACAGGGCACCAGATATTTCGTTATAGAATTTAATAAACTTCATCACAAGAGTCAAAGTAAATATCTTCTTTATTAAATGAGAAGGGGAGGTGAGTGACATAAATGTTATTTTAGAAGCTTACTACTTACTAATCATAAAGAATGTCTAGCAAAAATAGATTTGAAGGACGTAACAAACAAAAAAAAATTAGAGAAATATTTAGGACTTCTAACCAGCTGATAGAAAAAGGTGGTCGGGTTTGAAATGCCTTAACAAAAGTTGATGTTTACTCACTATTCTGAGCTAATCTGTACTCTGTGAGAGAGCCTGACACTAGAACCCTTAGTAGCAACTTATAGAAAATGACTGTGTAGGAAAAAGAAACCACTTCTGAACAAGACCACATTTTAAAACTCAATAGGGAAAAAGAAATCAAAGTTATAGCAGATGCTGTTGAGAGTGCCTCAGATGATCCCAAACTGAGCGAGCTCATGCAACTCCAGGTGGCTGAATGCTTCCCAAGGGCAAATCACTGTGATATCTGCAAGAAAGGAAGGAAGAATTTATAAGTCAGCCTCACTCCCAGGAGAGCCTTTTGGGCTCAAAAAAAACATCCTTCAAACAGAAGATGCATCCTCCTCTCTTCTAATCATTGTCCAGGTGACTGGGAAGTTATCTAAAATGGCCTTGAGACCCAGAGGATCAGACCAAATGCTTAATTAATCCTTTGAGGGCTCCAATGGCCCCAGAACACACTCACTCCTCCTGATATCTTCATTGGCTCTATTCTGCATCTTCTTTTGGGCAGGTGACCCAAGGTTTTTGATTGGGGCTACCCTGTAGGGGTACATCTCAATGATCACCCAGGACTTCCCCAAGGCACAACCACTAAGGAGGGACCAGAAGTAGATTTCTAGTCAGGTTAAGGGTTAAAATGAGAAATAGGAGCGCTTTAAACCCCCATGGTCTGGAAACCCAAAGCCTCCTTACTCCCTACCAATCTAGGTGGGTTTCTTGGGCTTCTCTGACTTGTTCCTCAGCTCCTTTACATTTTGAAATGCCTACATCCAACTCATGTTGAGAAATGATTTCAAGGGATCCTCTAATCCAGTTTCTTGAATCCAGAAATAAGTTTTTATTGTCCCCAGGTCACAGAGAAGCTGGTGGATATCCAGAAAGAGTAATCATTTAGCAAAAAAATTACACAGTTATAGAAATGGGACGAGAACCAGATCAAAGCCCTTCTTCTAGTGTACCAGTAAATCTCTTTCTATTATTCCAAATATGTTAGCAGAGTTAAACATATCTTTCTGAGTGGATTTACTAGTCTTAAATATATCTAGTCAAAAATATAGAAGCAGTTGATTTAAAAAAAAATCATGAGCTCTATAAAGTGGCTATAAAATTTGCGATTCCAGAAGTGACATTTGATTGCAAAAAGCAAATACACTGAGAATTGCCTGGTAAAGACATTCATTGCTATGAATGCCAGCATTTATCAAAAGTGTATTGGAGATCTGGCTGGTTTGGTTCAGTGGATAGAGCATCAGCCTACAGACTGAAGGGTCCCCGGTTTGCTTCTAGTCAAGGGCACATGCACTTGTAGGCTCCATCCCCAGTAGGGGGCATGCAAAAAGCAGCCAATTGATGTTTCATCATTGATGTTTCTATCTCTCTCTCTATCCCCATTCCTCTCTGAAAATCAATGCAAGGTAGGGAATGGTGTGTGTCCCTCAGCCCAACCTGTACCCTCTCCAATCTGGGACCCACCAGGACCTGGCCTTAATGGGCAGTCAGACATCTCTCTCACAATCCAGGACTACTAACTCCCAACTGCTCATCTGATTGCCTGCCTGATTGCCCCTAATGGCTTCTGCCTACCAGCCTGATCACCCCCTACAGCCTGATCAATGTCAAACTGCTCCCATGCCGACCTTGTTGCCCCAAACTGTCCTCCCCTGCAGGCCTGGTTGCCCCCAACTTCCCTCCCCTGCTGGCCCAGTCACCCTAACTGCCCTCCCTTGCCAGCTGGTTGTCCTTAACTGCCCTCTCCTGCAAGGTCTGGTCCCTCCCAACTGCCCTCTCCTACAGGCAATCTTTTGGCTGCCATCTTGTGTCCACATAGGGGTGGCCATCTTTAATCACATGGGGGTGGCCATCTTGTGTGCTGGAGTGATGGTCAGTTTGCATATTACCTCTTACATAAGAAAGCGGTAATATGCAAATTGACCATCACTACAACATATAAGATGGTCACCCCCATGTGAACACAAGATGGCCACCACAAGATGGCTGGCAGGAGAGGGCATTTGTGGGTGATCAGACCTGTAGGGGAGGGCAGTTAGGTGTGACTGGGCCTGCAGGGGAGGGCAGTTGCTGGGGAACAGACCTGCAGGGAAGAACTGTTAGGGGTTATCAGGTTGGCAGAGGAGTGGTTAGGGGGTGATCAGGAAGGCAGGCAGGCAATCAGTTGGAACCTAGTAGTCCTGGATTGTGAGAGGGTGCAGGCTGAATTTTGTGCACCAAGCCTCTAATATTTTATAGTGTATTGGATGAACCCAGGTCAGTGTAGCTCAATGGGTTGGAGCATCATCCTATATGCCAAAAGGTTGCAGGTTCCATTCCCAGTCAGGCACATGTCCAGGTTATGGGTTCGATTCCTGAACCAGGCTTGTATAGGAGGCAATGAGCAACTAATTGATGTTTTTTCTCTCACATTAATTCTCTCTCTCTCTCTCTCTCTCTCTCTCTCTCTCTCTCTCTCATTGTCTATCAAATCAATAAAAAATAAGTAAAAATAAATAAAAAACATGTCCTCCAGTGAGGATTAAACAAAAGTGTATTGTATGAGTTGAAAACTCATACCTACACAAATACCTGCACAAGTATGTTTATAACTGCTTTGTTTATAATTGTCAAATCTTAGAAGCAACCAGGATGTCTTTCAATAGGATAAATAAACTGTGATACAACTAAGCATTGAAATATTATTCAGTGATAAAAAGAAATGTGCTATCCGCCATTTAAAAACATGGAGGAACCTTAAATAAAAAAAAATACTTCTAACTGCCAGAAGTCTGCAAAAGCTACATACTGTATGTCTCTAACTATATGTGACAATCTGGAAAAGGCAAAACTATGAAGACAGTAAAAAGATTATGGTTGTTAGGAGTATATAGAGGGTGGGGATAAACAGAGCACAGGGGATCTGGGGGACAGCGAAACTCTTCTGCATGAGCCTGTCATGTTGGATATATGACCCTGTGCATTTTTCAAAGCCTAAAGAACTGGACAGCAACACAGAGAATGAACCTAATGAAAGCTATGGGCTTTAGTTAATAATAATGTGCCACTATTGATTCATCCATTGTGACAAATGCAAGTTAATAATAATAAGGAAAACTATGTACAGGAGAAGGAGGGGAGCAGAGGGGGTATATAGGAACTCTGTACTTTCTACTTAAATTTTTTGTAAACCTCAAACTGCTCTAAAAAGTAAAGCCTGTTAATTTTTTTTTTTTTTAAGAATAGGCAGTAATTTGCATTCATTATCCAATGAATAAAAATGCTAGGCAATGAAAAAAATATAGATAGATATTAGATACTTTCAGTGTGTGGGGCCCTGTTCTGGGTGCCAGAGAATGTGTGAAAGAGGAAGCAGTGGTTGGCCTCCTAAAGTAGAAATGCTCTCTGAGCCCCACCCTTGTTTCCAATACCTCACTTGTGGCCTCTGCTTGTCACTTAATTCTGCTGTGTCTCAGATATCTCTTCCAAAAAAATAAAGAAGTTGGTCTAGTCTACCTGCGAATCTTTGTACCAAGCCTGCAGTTCACCATTAGCATCTGTCAGTGGTTGTTGAACAAGACAAGAGAATTCATTAAACAAGCATGGGGCCTACCCAGATTTCTTTCAGAGTGTTTGCCTCTTGGCACACACATTCTTACTAGTACTTAGGAGATCAAAACAAAACCCCACATTTTTCAGTCTTCAAAGGATCTGCTGAGTTAGGTTTTTCTGAACACTTTCAACGGCCCCTTAAGGCCTGAAGCAGATAAGAAGATGAAACTTCAAGCATAATGTCCTCACTTTAGTTTCTGGGTGGCTCACCTGTTCCCAGCCCTTCCATGCCTGGAATGTCATCTCCGAACCTATGGGAAAAAATAAAAATTAGCTGAGATCAGATCACAAAGATCCTGGAATGACTCATGTGGAAAGTTTTTTGACTCAGGGGGGAAGAAGAGGCTTAAGCTTTTATATTTGAAAAACTTCTTATGTTTGTATTGAATTACGATAAAGAAAATAACAGGTTTTAAACAGCGTGACCCATAGAGAGATAATTTCCCTTGGGTAAAAAATTAACCTAAAATAATCAAGGGCCAAAAAGAGTAATCAGTGGGGCAATTTTAGACAACCCTCACTTTTAAAAACAGAAATTGGAATGGAAAAGCAATATGAAAGGAATTAAATGGATTAATTCATTCATTTGTTTAGTTATCCAAAAAATATCGTATTAGGCATCTTTTATGTGCCAGACACTGTGTTAGGCTCAGGGAGGAAAGGAAAAAAAAGAAATATTTTTCTCTGAGGGAGCTGTCTCAAGAAACAAATGAAAACAAAATAGTAAACGTTATGATAGCTGAATGTACAAAAGGCAAACAAGGAATTAATGATAACATTTGTCTAAGAGAGTCAATAACAGCTTCAAAAAGAAATTAACTTATGAGTGTGTGTTGAAAAATAAGACATTGCCAAGGAGAGAAAGAGAAAAACAAAGAACTTAAGACATAAGATTGAAGCCATAAAAATAAAGTGTGATTTCTGGAAATGACCAGTAATTCTGTAACCCTGACGGGGTATAATGGTGAAAGGGAGTGGTCAAGAAGAAAAACCTGGGAGGTCAAGTCAAAGGTCATTGTGAAAGGTTCCATTTGCTGTGTTATATTTGGCTTTAGACCTGAGAGCTGAGAGACAAAGTATTCCAGGGCTAAAAGCATGACTCAGCAAAGATTGTGGCAGAGAGAAAAATAAAAGATGGGGTGGAAATTTTTGTAAGTTTGCTTAATATGGTGAGCATTAAATCTCAAAAGTAGATGTGGCACATATACTAATACACCATAGACCACTACTCAGCCATAAGGAAAGATGAAATCCTGCCATTTGAGACAACATGGATAGACCTTGAGGATATTATGCAAAGTGAAATAATATCTGGCAGAAAAAGCTAAGAACCATATGATTTCACTCATAAAACTGAAACTGACACAGACAGCAGTGTGGTGGTTGCTGAGGGAAGGGGTGGAAGAATGGGAGGACGAGAGGGCCTAATATAGGGTGACAGAAGAAGATTTGACTTAGGTGGTGAACACACAAGTGCAATATACAGATCTTATATCCTAGAAATGTACACTTGAAACCTAAATGATCCTATTATCCAGTCACCCCAGTAAATTTAATTTAAAAGAACAACAACAAAGCAATCTTATTGGAGAAAAGAAATAATAGAAAGTCTTCTTTTTCATCCTGGTCTTACCCTTTCACACCTTTCTTAGGAGGCTTGCTCTTGAATTGGCGAGTCTGCCTCTGCTTGAACTTGGGGGGCCCTTTGCGTGGGCTGGTGGGACCCTGGTTTGAGCTTGGAGGAACCAAAGTAGTATTGTCACTCATTCTGATGGTCCTTGGGTGGCTGATGGTTCTCCTTCAGGCCCCTTAAACAGTGAGAGAAGAAAAGACCCTTCAAGGTATGAGGACAGTTGCTTAGCAGACCTTTGCAGAAAACTGGAAATGTAAAAGCACCCTGATAAAGAAGCTTAAGTGTTTTGTGTTGACACAATAGGGGAGAAGTTATCATATTTTAAAAAGATTTTAAATAAGTCACCGTATAAATTGTCAGAAACACTAGATATAGTGGAATATGATACAAATGGACAACCAATAGATTTCAAGAATCTAAGTAGATATGTTGTTCTTGTAAATCTGCCATTAGCTTTCTATGTGTTTTATTAGAATGGCCTACTTCCCCTTTGTGATCACCAGTCTCATTACATGTAAAGGGATGAGAATGGACTAAATGATATCTACAGTCTTTACATATTCTTTAAGCTATACACATTTTCCACCCAGCTGCAAAATAATCAGACACTAAATGTTTGCTGACCCATTGTTATGACCCTTGCTCTTTATAGTCTTCATTTTATTTAATCCTCACATGATCCAGAGACTTCTAGTTCGGAGAGGGGAGGTTGTGATGATTGTGGAAATCTAGATTGTCTGGACAGGAATAGCTCTGAATCAGGTATACTAACACCCATGAAAGTATGCAATACATCCCAACACAAACACACACATACACACACACACACACACACACACACAGGAAAATCGATGCAGGATGATTAAGTAGTAAGTTTGTGATTTAACTTCATATCCAAACATGAGGTTCTTCAGCTACACATTTCTCAGAAATTTTCGACATTTTCTCCTATCCAAATCATGGGCCTATCTAATATAGTTTTCCCAGACTTTCATTTTAGCCGTAGAAATGTGCATTGGCACTCTTCAAGTACAAATCAAAGAACATGATTATCAAATGTATATTTAAAAAACAAATGTGCTAAGCCAAAGAATTTTTTACTTTCTTCTTTTCCATCAAAAAAGTTGATAATATTTACCTTAGGAAAGAAGATTCTGAAAAGCTCCAAAGAGCTCCCAAATAGCCTTAACCTCACCTTGAGCCAACCCCTTTCATTATTCACTACCTGGAAACTTTGTTTTCATTGAATTCTTTGTTTCACCCATTACAGATGATGCTAATATCCTTAGCTTCAAATCTCTTGGACAATCTTTGGCTTGTGGTAGCCTTTTAGACCTCTTTCTACCACACATCCCTCAAATATTATGTTGTATAACTTCAACTTTTTCTTATTACTTTCAAAATCATGTTAAATTATTATCTTTACCTCCAAGATATTTTTCCCTTGTTTTTTTTCCAACTCACTATTTTCATCCTGTCCCGCCAATTTTCAACTTGTTCAAAGAAACACATTGACTAATTTGTGAGCTGGAACTAGGGATGGTGAACCTGGCCAGACCTCTGGATGATCTACTCATGCCAAGGATTTTGTCTTAATCCCCCATTGGAATATGGGCTGCTTTTCCGGTTTTTGATGATTTCTGTGGTCCTAGAACCAACAAAAGTACCTGGCCTTTACTAGGTATGCCATGTATACTTGTCAAATGGGTAAATAAACAAATGAAGAAATTGGACTAATACCCTGAACATGAGAGTCTGACCCTCTGACCTTCTCCGTCAAACCATAAAGAAGGCATCATCAGGTCTTCACTTTTCAAAGCCCCCAGTGGCTTGGGAAGTGTCCTGCCAGCTCCTCTGTTCACTGAATCCAATTCTTGTGCTGTGGTCGCTCTCCTGCCCCCAGTAAACAGGCAATGTTTGTGCCTCTCTGAAGTGTGGGACTTACCGGTGGGCATCAGAGTGCGCCATCACTCTGATAGCACATCCCAGTTATTCCAAAACCACAGAGATAAACTAGAGAATTTCTTGCAGATCAGGCTTTTATGACTTCCCAATTCTTTCACAGTAGGCAGAAACCACGAACTTTCCTTTCTCTCATTTGGAGAACCTACTAAAATTAGGATTGTCAGATCTAGCAAGTGAAAATATAGGGCACTCAGTTAAATTTAAATTTCAGATAAACAACAAATAATTTTGGGGTATAACTAATTACCATTAAGTATTTGGGATATACTTAAAATTTTGTTGTTTATCTGAAATTCAAAATTAACTGGGAATCTTCTATTTCATCTGACAATGCTAACTAGGATCCTCCTATGCTAGATCTAGAGCCTGTAATGTGAGGGCTTAAGATAAACTGGATTAGTCAAATTACCCTTTGTGGGCAATACAGTGCAAGCAATACAATTGCTTTGGAATTAAATAAACATAGTTTCAAATTCCTGCTCTACAAAACTGGCTAAGTCACCTTGAATAAGTTACATAACTTCTCTGAGCTTTAGTCTATCTGTAACATGAATTAAATAATACCTTCTTTTTTGGTTCATGGGGAAAATTAAATAGAGAATGTAAATAGAGTATTTGGTGAAAAGTACCCAAAAAAGAGTAACTAGATACCAGACCTTCTGGGAGTCAAGGAAGCTGTGTAAATAAATCTATGGTTGTGATACAGGTTCACCTTTTCTGGGGCCACCTGCTGAAGAGCCCTGGTTATGCAACCTGAGAGGCGATTGTCATCTGCTCTTACTGAGCGATCCTTTGTGTCCCTCAAATGCCCCAACTGTTAACTTATTCCTGGTTTCTGCCTTAGAAGGAATTCTGCCCTCCTTAGATACTTTTGACCCCTCAACCCCTAACGTTAATGTCAAAGAATTTTAAAACCATATTTGACTTCTACCTTCCCCTGATTACACTTATTTTTTCTTCAAAGTTTCTTTTGCATATTTATATAATTTTGAAGTTTTGACTCTAAGCTTGGACAGAGTTCATGTCTAACTCAAAGTAAGATGCATTACATAAAGAACTAGAGGCCCCATGCATAAATTTGTGCATGGGTGAGGTCCCAAGGCCCGGCCAGTGATCAGGGCATATCGGGCTGTCTCACCCAATTCTAATCAGGGCTGAGCCAATTGGGACCAGGCCAATCAGGGCCTGCTGCAGGGGCTGGGGGCTGGGGAGAGAACAGGAGGAGGTACCATGGGAGGTTGGCTGGCCTAGATCGGGGCGGATTAGGGCCAGCCCGCCAGGAGAAGGGACTGGGTTAGGGAAAGGACCACGGGAGGTTGGCTATGGGAGCGAGAGCACTGACAGCAGGGGGAAGCTCCTGCATTAAGCATCTGACCCCTGGTGGTCAGTGCATGTCATAGAAACTGGTTGACCAGTTGTTCTGGCCATTCTGGTTGTCTGATCATAATGGTTAGTTAGGCTTTTATATGTATATAGATTCTCACAAAAAGTTACATCACAGTAGCCTGGTTAATCCCTGGATCTTCATGGCCCTAAGGCTTTGCACTATGGATCATAATTACCATTATGTTTATTGTGTGTGCCTCATGTATAATATTCCTTTTAAGTACCTAGGACAATCACAACCCCTAGACTGTTTCTGTCAGATATCTGCACTCCAGTTCTCCCAGTAGAACCTTTGGGAGGAACAGAACACATATAACCATTTCCTACATGGAAAGTATCACTGAAGGCTAAACTTATCCCCACCATGCTTTGCTATGAATTCCAAGGGCGTCCCTGGAGCTAAACAATCCTGAATCTCATATCAGATTTGATTTTGACAATGAAAGGACATTTCATATTTTTGCCTCTAAAAGTATCAAATAATCCATTCCTTTGTGAAGCAGAATATATTCCTGTTTTTTTAAGCAATGTTAGCCCTCCCCCTTTTGAAGCTTAAAAACTACTCTTCTGCAAAAATAAAAGAATGCAATAATGTAATATTTCAAGGCAAAATTTTGTAGGGAAGCAGTTGGGATTAGACCAAGGTAGTAGAAAGCTGCAGGAAGCTACAGAGGATGTTCCTCTGTAAATTCCAGCTAAGGAAAAACAGTTTTAGAAGCTTCTTGGGCCAACCTTTCTGATGCTGCTATTATCACCCCAGACTTCCAGTTTCCTCAGCAAAGGTATCAACAGATAGGCAATTTTATTGTTGATGGAGTAAGGGGATGGGGGGGAAGCAGTAGGAACAGGAGTACAGCTTCCTCCAGGGGAGTTGGGCCCTTAAATGCCACCCAGGATCCCTCTGAAGCAGAGAGAATCAAACAGTTTGGAGAACCAAGGGAAACCCAACCGAAGCCATGAAAAAACAAAAACAAAAATCCAGCAAGAACTTGCTTCGCATTGGAACACACAAACACTTGACCTCAGAAGGAGCAGGGTAAGCCACCCGCACTGCACTGTGGTCAGTCATTCCCACGATGGCTCTGGCTCGCTCTCTCCAGCCTCTGGGTGCCTGAGCCAAGTTTTCAAGCACATCCTGGGAGTTAAGACCTGTTTGCTCTGTGGTCATTTAGCGCTCAGATCACTCCTTTTCCAGAAAACTGTTTTCTATGGAGCCACACACACACAAAAATAAATTTTGTAATCAAGGTTTGCAAGGACCTTGTAATACTCAAGTTTCATTTATTAGCTTATCACATGGCATTACAAGGAAGTTTGGGTGTGTTTCAGTAATGTTTTCATTCCCAGCACCAATCCAGGCCCACAGTTCAAGGTGTTCTCTTCTTCCATTCTTTGTTTTAGAGCTGTATCAACCCCCACCCTACCCCCAAAGCCCTCTGATTGTATACCATGCTTACCCTTATCAGAAGTTGAGCTGAATGTTGCTCCAAGAAGCCGTCCAGTTGCCTTCTTCACAGCAGATGAAAAGATCTTTGCATCTTGATTTATCTGTCCGTAATACCCTCATGCCATCTAATCCCACCTTCATCAGATTAGAGCCCAGCCCAGATGCAAAGAATTGGGGTGAGACTGGGAGAGGCTTAGGAGTTCTCTGATTATTGGATACTCTTACAAAACTGGCTTGGGCTCTCTCTCTCTCATCAATAAATAGGTAGCAAATTCACAAACACTCACATAGTGTTCTATCCAAAAGTGGATTTGCAGTTTGTGATTCAATATATTTTGGCCTTTTCCAGTCCCACCTTTAGTCCTTGCCTCTCTATGCCTTCCCTTTCCTGACACGTGCTCACCCATGTACAAGGTGGGGCAAAAGTAGGTTTGTGATGGTTCATATGGAAAATAAGACAATAATTAATAAATAATAATACAAGAGTAAACTCTATGTTTTGCATAATCACAACGTAAACTACTTTTGCCCCACCCTGTATATAATTTTCCCTTTTTCTTCCCTCCCTCCCTTCTCTCATAAACACACACACCATGACATAATTTTCATAAGACTTTACTGAAAAGAAAGTGAACCACAGTGTCCTCTACTACAGTAAAGATGCTGAACATGTGAGCAGTGACAGAAATACACAATATTTTTTCCTAATTAGTATTGTATGCATTTCCTCAGAGAGGCAGGACCACCAAGCAGAAATGACCTAAAACTCAGTAATACTTGACAGAGAAAGAGCCCAAGTGATCGCTGGGAACTCACTGTTGACACATGTTGGAGAATTAATTGCTGCATCTTTATACCCAAAGGCTTCAGAGTGTGAGGCTCAGGCTATAATCCAGAGTTCAGCGGACACCTGGCTCAGTCCTCCACTAGCAGTAAGCCACTAGAATTAATTTGTTCATCAATGTATACAGTTTTTAAATGGACCTAGCCCATATGCCAGTATCATTAAGGTCTAAAAATGTTGTCATACAGAAATTAAGTGACTTATTCAAGACTGCATATCAAGTTAATAGTATAGCTAGGTAGAAGCAAGACCTAAGTCTGGGATCACCTTTTTACTATACAACAGCAAAACAGACATGGGCCAAGAAGCATGTGCTATTGGTCACTCTGGTGCCTTGCCAGTGACCTGCAGTGTGCCTTCTCTAAATTGTTACTACTTGTCAGAGAATTGCACTCCAGAAGACTGCAGAGAAAGAAGGTCAATTTATCCTTCCTGAGCAGGGAAATATTCTAAACATGCAGCCCCAAGCAGATTACATGAGCACTTAAACAGATTAGGAGGGGTTTTTTTTTATAAGCTTTTCCCGTGGTCCTTACCAAAATGATAGTAGTTTTGAAGGCAGAGTCTGCTGAGTGTTTTGTCTCTGGGTGGTGCCTTCCATGTCCCCATCTGTGTCTCCATTCCCATTCCCATCTTCCTTTGCTCCTTCCTACACACCAGGCATATGGATATTTACATGCTTACCTGTCAAATCATCACACATTCTTCATCCCTTTGAGAATGTAGAACTGCAATTCATAAAGACAGTGGAAACAATAATAATGTTAGACTCAAAGTGTAATAGCATCAGCACCACCTGGGCACTGGTAAGAAATGCAGAATATCAGACCCTCCTCCAGACTTACTGCATCAGAATCTGCATTTTCACAAGGTACCAAGGTGATTTGTTTGCACATTAATGTTTGAGAAGTGCTGTTCTAGACCCTTGTGTAGGCTTGGTTTTACCACATCTCTGCTCTGTAAAAACATTGCCACCTCTCTGAGCCTCACTTCCTCTTATGTAAGACAAATGATTTAGCATGCTAGCATTCTCAATTTTTTTGCTATCCTGACACTCCTGAGATAGATAAACCACATTTATTTGTAATAGAATTTGTAGCCCTGTGATTCTCAATAGGGGAGGGGGGGTGGAGGTGGCAGTACTTTGCCACCACTCTTGTTCCTCCAAGAGAGATCCAGGAGCGTGGAGAGTGAGGGGTAGCCAGTCTATGAAAAGGCCAAGAATTTCATTTGAAAAACTCTCCTAAAGTGAACCATACGGAAAGTTCTTGAAGTAGAAAGGAAATGATAACAGAAGGAATGTTTGAACACCTAGAAACAAAGAACAGTGGAAAGAGCAAACGTATGTGTTACAAGGGGAAGTATGAAAGCAGGAACGCAACCACCCTAGCAGGGTTTTGTGGAGAATGAAACATTGCTCAAACCACTGTGAAGTTCTAAAGATCTGGTCATCTTGTACCTTCAGGGGATGCAACCACTGTTCCCAGTTCCAAGTGGCTGCTCATTCTGACACCACTTAGAGGATCTGAGTAGGCTGGCCAATCAGCAGTCACTTTACACTGCCTCTGTTAGGCAGAGCTCTTCTACCAGGCTATTTCATTTGTTGCTGGCTAGTAGGTGGCTGGCTTTTGGTCAGTTGTCTATCTTCAATCTCATCAACCAAGTAAGGTGGTCATATTGCAGGAAACAAGGTGATGAATCACCAAGGAACTGCTCTGGTAAAACTTTGGGTGTGCTGGACACAAAGATTTCACAGACATGAAAAGTATAATAAACTTGCTCAGAAAACTTGCTGAGCCAAAATTATAAATAAATAAATAAATAAATAAATAAATAAATAAATAAGAAGAAAAATAAATTGATAGATATAATGACATAGATGAATATTAAATCTATTATTAAGTAAAAGAATCCAGTCAAAAGTCTCCATACTGTCTGTTTTCATTTATGACCTTTGGAAAGGCAGAACTATAGGATGAGAGAACAGATCAGTGGTGGCCAGAGTTGACTATAAAGGGGAAATACAAGGGATTTTTGAAGGGTGATGGAACTATTTGGTATCTTGATTGCACTGGTTGATATACAACTCTGCATTCATCAAAACTCATAGAATGGTACACCACAGAGAGTGTGTTCTACTCTGTAAAATTTGAAACTAAATATAAATGCTTTTAAAAAAAAAAAGAAAGAAAGAAAGAAAGAAAGAAAGAATTCTATATTCCATAGCTCTATAATCCTTTCCCTTCTGGCAGATGGGAAAGTATTATTAGTTATATTCAGGAAAAGAGTTAAAAGGCAGGTACTAAGTAACTAGAAAGTGATTAAAATTTTAGCTGTCCTATAAGCTTCTTACCCAAGTGCTAATCTCTAATCTCTCTTTAGTGTTGCTTAAAATATCAGTGAGGGGAGAGATACACATCAAAGTCACATTTCCTCCAAATTCGAAACCTCCTAAACTGAGCTTCCAACTCTAACAAAAGCACAGTGGACTCCAGAGGGGAAAACAGTAATGTGAGGAGAGAATGCACAAGGCTGGCCCCTCTTCCCCTTCATATGCCACTGTGGTAATGGGTTCTCCAGAGCAGATTGTTAATATTGAAAAAAAATAACATGAATTAAAAATACAGTCTTCTCTTTGAGAACATAAAGAGGAGGTAGCATCTCCTAACTCGTTGCATGAGGTCAGTTTTATCAACATGAAAATTTTTGACACCAACACAAGACAAAAACTAAAATAATGCTCATAATATTCTATCGTATTGTACATTTGAAAGCTGCTACGAGAATAGAACTTAAAAGTTTTCATAACAAAAAAAAATTGTATGTATGGTGACAGATGATAACTAGATTTATTGTGGTGATCATTTTGCAATATATGCAAATATTGAATCATTACTGAAATTAATATAATGTTATAATGTCAATTATACCTCAGTTTTTAAAAAAATGAAAGAAAAAGATGATTGAAATGGGCAAATAGCCTCCACATATGACAAGTTTGAAGAGGAAACATTTGTTCTCATGTGTAAATAAATTCTAATATGTCCTTTTTAAATTAAAAAGAATAATGATAAAAGTAGTACCATTTATAATTGCTCTAAATAAAATAAAATACTTTGGTGTACATCTAACAAAACATGTATAGAATTTATATGATTAAAAACTACAAAGAGGTGATTAAAGAGATCAAAGAAGACCTAAATTACTGTGTTTATGGATTAGAAGACTCTACATTACTAAAGATACCAATTCACCTTTACTGCAATTTCTATAAAAATTTCAGCAAAGTTTTTGCAGACAAAGATAAGTTTATTCTAAAACGTAAAAAGAAGCAGAAACTGTAGAAATATCCAAAAGAGGAAATTATATTGGGAAGGAATCAGTCTTCCTAATATTAAGGCTTCCTACATAGCTACAGAAGTCAGGACAGTGTGGTATTGACAGAGGGATAGACACACAAGCAATGAAACAGAGTAGGGAACTTAGGTATAGACCCACACAAATGTGCCCAATTAATTTTCGACAAAAGTATAAAATAAATTGACGGGACATGTGACAGCCTGTTCAACAACTGGAGCTGGAGAATGAATATCTAAATCTCATGCACCTAAAACTCCACACCTAAATCTCACACCTTGTATAAAAACTAGCTCAAAATGTATCAGACTTCTATGGAAAATGTGAAACTATAACCTTTTTTAAAAAAAAATAAGAGAAATTTTAGGGCCTTAAACTAAGCAAAGAGGTCTTAGATCTGCCAGTGATAGTACAATTTGTAATAGGAAAAAGGGAATATTTTTGACTTGATCAAAATTAAAAACTTTTGCTATCTAAAACACTCTAAAAAGAGAATGAAATGACGAGTCATATACTGGAAGAAAATATTTGCAAGTCACATACCCAACAGGGGGTCTGTATTTATGGTAAGGCTATGAAAACTTGCATAATGTAGTTTAATAAGTCATCTATAGGAAAAGTAAAGTTGGTGTCAGTAACCTCTACAAACACATGACCATACTTCTTCTTCCCCTAGGCAATGTTATCACCAGAGGAACAAGGTGGAGGGGGAGGGGAAAAAGGAAGAATGCAGACAGAAGAATTTTACTCAAATTCTGGCATGATTCAGTCAAGCCACTCCCAGGAATTCCAGGTATGTAAGACACAGCCCTTTCTTCATGCTTTATATTTGTGTGAACACATAAGCTTAATAATAATTACCTAGTAATACAGGGGAGTGTTTACCAAAGTACTAAATTACATTGTATAAACAATGAACACTTTAGGAGTTCAGAAAAAAACACACACACTCTTTTTTAATCAGCAGAGGGAAGCTTCAAAGAAGGAGGAAGCAATATTTTATATTTATGCAGGCTGATTGTGAGTGCTTAGATGAAAACAACTCTTCTTTTTCAGTTTACTATTTATGTATTTTTAAATTCAGTTTACTATTTATGTATTTTTAAAGTTAAATTTATGAGGGTGACATTGATTAATGAGAATACATAAGTTTCAACTTATTATAGCACTGTGTGCTGATCACCT